TGCAAGCCCGTGTGCTGCACCCCTGTCTGCTGCAAGCCCGTGTGCTGCACCCCTGTGTGCTGCGAGGACTCCCCCTGCCCAGCCCCCTCCTGCTGCCAGCCCAGCCCCTGCTGCAGACCCTCCTCCTGCGTGTCCCTGCTCTGCCGCCCCGTGTGCCCCCGCCCTGCCTGCTGCGTGCTCGCCTCGGGCCAGTCCTGCTGCTGATGGGCACGTCCGCCCACTGCTACTAGGACTCCCACCCAAAGTATTCGGAGCCTCGAGCCCAGTCTGGGGTCTCCTTCTGCCCCCAGGTGCCCACCGCAGCAGACAAGGCTGAGCCCCCACTGTCGGGCTGGCCCCCTGAGGCAGCTGCAGCCTCCCGAGGGCCCTGTGTGTCACCCGGTGTCCTCCTCTCTATCATAGCCGGATTGAGGTCACTTTGTCCTGTCCTACGTGAGCGACCTATCTGTTAACCAATAAAGTCACCGTCAGCCCCTCCGAAGGCCTCGAATGCGCGTCTCGGCCAGCAGGGAAGGGCTGCGATGTTGCACGCGGGCGGGGCTGCTCTGAGAGGCCTGGAGCCGCGTCTGTCACAACAGCACCGGCGGGCAGGGTGGCCACCCGCACCCCCTGCTGGGCCTCCTGCGCCGGCTGTCCCCCGGCAGCGCCACAAGCCGGCCCGCCTGGGAGGCCCCTAGAGCCCTTCACCAGTGAGGGACGGAGGGCCATCTGTCGGGCCCTGAGCCTTTGCCAGGGACAAAGGAGGCCCGGTTAATAGAGCTTCTGCCTTGGGGGCGTGCACGGTGCCAGCCACTCTCCGGTGGCCCTCGGCACAGGGGCGAGCGCGTCCCTCTGTGTGAAGACGCCAGGAGCATGAGTGCTGTGCGCGGTGATGACGGGAGCCCGTGTCGGTCAGGATTCTCCAGAGACACAGCCAATAGGATGTGTGCGTAAACATGCGGCGGTTTTGAGGCATAGGTTCACGTGAGTGCGGGGCCGGCAAGTCCAAAATCTGCAGGGCAGGCTTCCCAGGGATGAGCTGATGTTGGAGCTTGAGCCCAGAGACGGTCTGCTGATAGACTCCGGCTACCTCTTGGGGGACCTCTGTCTGTGCTCCGAGTCCTTCAACTGATTGGGTGAGGCCCACCCACCATATGACAGATAATCTGCTTCACTCAGAGCCGACCGATGTAAATACCAGTCTGGGCCTTCACGGCAATGTTTGTATGTGTTTGACCAAACAACTGAGCATGATGGCCTGGCCAAGATGACACATAAAATTAACCATCTCCCCGGACCAACAGCCCAGGGTCTGGCGTACTGAAAATGGTGGGTCTCATTGGGCTGTCCCCTCAGGATTTCAAGTGTTCAGGCAGGTCGCCTTGGAAGAAACGGGGAGGAGGGATTCCCACCGGCCCTACAGGCACAGTGCCCAGCAGGCATGTGCCCTGGGCCACGGATGATCCCCAGTGAGGAAGGGCCACGTCTGGGAGGCCTCACAAGCCCTCGGGCCACATTCAAGAGAAACCATGCCTGGCAACATTGTGATGTACCAACCTGCAGTCAGAAGGAAGCAGGTGTCCCTTGGGGAGCGTTTCCTGGCACAAAACATTGTGACTCCTGGATGGCTGGCCGGCCAGTCACCCGGGATCCCTGTGGATGCCAACATGCCCCCCAACTGTGGTGCAGGGCGTGTCCTGTCCCTCGTCCCTGGTCCCCAAGTCGCTTGGTGAACAGCCACACCCACCCACCCAGCAGCCTGGCCTCTCCCTGGGCGCCGCCCCTCCCCTCCTCTGCCCCATCTCACTGAGCTTCAGCTTCTGGCCCCCACCCCACCCTCCCTGCCAGGACGGCCCAGGCGCCCGGCCCCGTCCTGCTTCTCCCTGAAGACCCCTCCTCCCCTTCTTCCTCTGCCCTCCCCGGCGGGCGCCTGCCGTTGACTTGTGGTCCCTTCGACCCCCAGAACCACTCACTCCCGAGTCCCAGTCGGCCAGACTGGCACGTGCCCTGGGGACCGAAGCGACTCTGGGTTCTGCTAAGTGCTGCGGATCAGAGCAGGGGTGCTTCCCTGGGCTCTGACCCGGGATGAGAAGAGAGGAATGGCATCTTTAGTCTCACCAACCTGTACCCGAAATCCAGCGCTTCAAGTGGTTGTGAACAGCCAGCGGCCCCGAGTGGATCCGCAGGGCCCGAGCCTTCGCGGCCGCGGACGTCAGGTGTGCGGGCCTCACGGGGACAGCTGGCCCCACACTCACGGATGGCCGGGCGGCCGGCACCCACCCCGCAGGACATCACGTGGGGCTCACTGGAGGAGTGTGCTAAATCACTCGCTTGTTTTCAAGTTTCAGCGTGCCTTCCTGTAATCGGTGCCCTTTGATTTCCGTCAGGTTTTTTCTTTCTTCATTTAGAACCAGCTGAAGCCTTCTCAAGCTGGCGGGGAGCGGGGGCAGGCACAGAAAGGGTCGGGGCGCCCGGCACCCTCTGGCCGTGAGCAGCTCTCTGTCTGTGGCTCTGACCACCAGCAGGACGGTGGTCAGCCAGCCCCGCTCGCCCACGGGTTCCCGGAGGTGAGGCACAGCCCCCGTGATGCCCCGACTCTCAGGAAGGGTTGTGTGTGTGTCCCTGTTGTTTCTGGACCCTTAATTCTCGAGGGGCCCTTCCCTGTCAGCCACGGTGTCTTTTCATTTGTCGCTCGTGGTTTTCACGGCGGGTGTGTACAAACCTGACCGGCGAGTCGGAGGGCCCCCGAGGGAGGGCGGGCGGCAGGGAGAGCTGCCCAGTGAGCCCCCGACGTGCAGCAGGCGGGCGGTCCCCACTCCAGGTCAGTGGCACCTCAGCGGGAGGCCGGAGGCAGCTGAGTGCAGCACATGGCCAAGCACTCCTCAAGGCCCTGTTGGCTCCTTGGGTCGTGATGGTACCACCATCTTTCTGGGTTTAGATATGACGAACCGTTTCAAGAGTTTTGTTGTCTAATAAAAAATAGTAGATGAAATGTACTTTGGGTGTTTTTTTTTAGTTTATTTATCTTAGAGGGAGAGAGAGAGAGAGAGAACATGAGTGGGGGAAGGGCAGAGAAAGGCAGAGAGAGAGAGAGAATCCCAAGCAGATTCTGAGCTGTCACCGCAGAGCCCGACTCGGGGCTCAAACCCACAACCCGTGAGCTCATGACCTGAACCGAAGTTGAGAGTTGGACGCTTAACTGACTGAGCCCCCCAGGCGCCCTGCCCTGAAAGATGAGATGTCCTTCGAAACCGACGGCTGAGCCCTGCCTGCTGTCATTTTCTTTTTGTTTCTGCTGCTTCTTGTCTTTAAAATACCCACCATGGATGTTTTTCTTCTACTTTCCCTGCTGTTTTGAAAGACACACATCCTGTTTTCAGTCACACTCGTGAATGTCTAAGTCTCCCTTCATATTTGTGTTTCAACTGGTCAAGTCACGAATCAATGATACGGCGTTGAGAAATTCCTCCTTGAGACGGAATTGGGTGTTTCTCCCACCATCTGGCCGCGCCCCACGCCTTTCAGTTTTCTGGGATCATCTGAAGGGCCGCCGTCTGACAGAAACATGGTACGAGCCACATTACAGCCATCCCAGCAGCCGCATTTACAAGTGAAAAAGAGGGGGCGCCTGGGGGGGCTCAGTCGGTTAAGTGTCCGACTTCGGCTCAGGTCATGATCTCACGGTCCATGAGTTTGAGCCCCATGTCGGGCTGTGTGCTGACAGCTCGGAGCCTGGAGCCTGCTTCCGATTCTGTGTCTCCCTCTCTCTCTGCTCCTCCCCTGTTCATGCTCTGTCTCTCCGTGTCTCAAAATAAACATTAAAAAAAATAAACTTGTAAAAACTCAGCAATATGTGTACAGGGTTGACTCAAAGTGCGTGATGCTCTTGAAACCCACAAGTTCTTCCAGCCCACACGCACACGTCTTGTCCATTCAGCTCCGGGCAGCACACCCTCTGTTACTTCTTTGACTGTTTTTTTTTTAAACTTTTTTTTAATGTTTATTTATTTTTGAGAGACAGAGAGAGAGAGCATGAGCAGGAGAGGGGTGGAGAGAGGGCGGGGGGACACAGAATCCCAAGCAGGTTCCAGGCTCTGAGCTGTCGGCACAGAGCCTGACGCGGGGCTCAAACTCACAAGCCAAGAGATCATGACCTGACCTAAGTTGGACGCTTAACCGACTGAGCCACCCAGGCGCCCCCCAACCCTTTTTTAATTTCTTTGTTGTTTTGATCTTAGCTGCTCCTCTCCCTCTCTGGCCATGGGTTATCGCATTTGGTCTCGGCTGAACACCCCGTCCGTGCGTTACATGCTGTCTGACCACATCTGTGGGTGTTTTCTTGTGTTTTGGGGGTACCACCAGCATTTGTCCTTCCGACTGTTGACATGATTGCTGTTTCCTGCCTCTGTTGTGAGTCTTTAATCCAGCTGCTTGGTGTTCAATTTCCTTGAACACTTGCTGTCTTCCACCATTTTATTAGGAATGAGGAAGTCCCGGTTAGAGCGTAGATCCCGTATGCGCTGGCTTCAGTCCCACTTCAGCCACGTTGGGCTGCGTGACCTTGAGTAGGTTGCTTAACCTCTCTGTGCCCAGGCTCCCTCCTCTGTTCATTCGCAGTATGGAATGACGTGTCACTTAGTTGATGTGAAAATTAAGTGGGTTACCAGATGTGAAATGCTCAGAGCCCCCACTGACTCAGAAAATGGTAGCTAACGTCACCAACATCGCCATTAGTGCTATTTTGAGGGTCTTCTCCTAAGACGTTGAATTCCCGCCCCCCCATCACCTGCACACGATGACTTTCTGTTCTGGGTTCACTGGGACCATACCTTCTTGCATCCCACGTTGCCTGACGTCTTCTTTTGAGCGTTGCTGTGGATCCATGAGTGTCCATCACTCTCGCGCAGTCTTCAGGAGATGTGCTCGCTCTGTCCACACTGTGTGCTCTGGGGCATCGTCCTGGGGTGAGGGGGTGCTGTGCTCAGCCGTGGGCGTGGAGGGCACAGGCACCTGCTGAAGGCCACCTGTGCGTGAGTGAAATATCGATGGAAACTGAATGGCCAAGCAGCGTACTGGTCCTGCGCCCTGGGACCCCCACGGTTGCATCTCAGCCCCTCCACGAACCCAGACCCGTCGTGGAGTTTCACAGCGTCCCACTCTAGTCCCTTAATGCTCCTTGCAGAGAGAGAAGGAAGGGAGAGGCAAAGAAGGTACTGGTAGAGAAGCTGCCGATCGCTGACACGGACAATGAGGGGAGCAGCCTCACTGGAGGCCCCCCGGACCCCCCAGGAAGTGTGATAAGGGGACATCATGAGCCACATGACGTGCGTGGATTCGACAACCCCAGTGAAATGGACAAGAACGTATTTCTCCACTCAAGAGGAAATATATAACCCGAACAGCCCCGTTCTATTAAAGACATTGGATGTGTCCGTAAGAACCTTCCCGCAGCCCACCCGTCCTTCAGCAGGCAAACCGTAAAGCAGCACAGAACATCGGACCACGGAACCGTGCCTGCGTCTCAAAGGAGCCAAGTACGAGAAAGCCTCCGACAGTGGCCTGCTGCGTGATTCCCCTTCGGCAACGGCCTCGGTACAGCCAAGGAGTAGAGGTGGAGAGGCGGGCGTGCGCGGCCAGGGATGCACGTGCTGGGCGTGGTCGTCAGGGGCGCCGGAGGGGGCCTCCGGTCGCGCCCACACTGACCGCGGTGGCCGTATGATCCACAAATACGAACACTGCAGAGAGGCACATGCGTGCCCACACAGAGACACACGCACACGGAGATGCACACACACACACACACACACACACACACACACACACACAGACCGATGTGGGTAAATGTGGTGGGATCTTGGGTGGCCGATCTCCTGGTTGTGACTTGTGCTAACGTTACACAAGTGGCCATCACTGAGGGAAATGCGTAAAGGGTGACAGGAGCTCCCAGTATAATTTTTTATAACTTCTGGTGAACTGTAATTACAAGCAAATCCACGTAGAAACCCCCAGGCCCACGTGGCTTCACTGCTGGGTTCTATCAGGGGGACACTGACACCAGGGCAGGATCCTGCAGACCCGCCGTCCGCCTCCTGGCTGGCACAAGACACTGTCCCCTGCTGTTGCCCCGTCACCCCTCGAGCTTACACCAGGGCACTGCCCAGATCCCCGTCAATGCCACGGAATCGCCAAAATCTCTGAGAGTTGTCCTGTGCTATCATCACTGCTTCCGTGACACCCACACCGCCTCCCCCATGGGAGCACCGCACACCCATGGGCGTAAGAGACAGACCCGCCCCGGCTGCCTGCCTCCCTCTTGGGGCTGCCGTCTGTGTGCCGGGACCCTCGCGCCCCGCGGCCACACCCCCGCACCTCGGCCGCGGGTGTGCATGTGACAGACCAACGACCCCAGGCTCCCGGTGGCACCAGGTGCCTGCAACGCTGCCCTCTGCTCCCGCCCAGCACGTGGCCCCCCCCGCGGGACCTGATGTCCTCCTGCGCCCTCTGGGGCAGTGGGAGCAGGTCTGCACCTTTCTCCCACGTAACCCGCGGAACCCAGTGCAGCCACAAGCAGCCCCATGGGGGGCCGTCGCGGCCGTCTGCCACAGGGAGGCACGGACACCCACTTCCCTGACTCCCCACAGGGACCCCGGCTTCCCCGAGGGCCAGACCCCGGTCAGGCGGTCATCAGAACTACCTGGGCAACTGACTCATCTGATGTGGCTTCCCTGACCTGGCACAACACCAACAAGGAAGGGGATGAGGCTCCTGTGGGGACAACACAAGCCTGGGGCAGATATAAAAGCCATGGCCTCCCAGGGTACCCAGCACACATTCGCACTCACGCACACACCCACACCCACACCCACTCCCTCCTGCAGCCCCACCGCCCCCGCCATGGCCGCGTCCACCCTGTCCGTCTGCTCCAGCGACCTGAGCTATGGCAGCCGCGTCTGCCTGCCCGGGGCCTCGGACTCCTGCCCCGACTCCTCCTGGCAGGTGGACGACTGCCCAGAGAGCTGCTGCGAGCCCCCGTGCTGCGCCCCGGCCCCCTGCCTGAC